CGAGACGAGCCCATTACGCCGCTCGTGTCGTGAAGTTGTTCGCTCTCCTTCTCACTCCATTCCGCGCGCGCCCCGACCAGGCCTTCGAGGGGAGCAGAGGCCGTCTCGGGGTCCGCGGGGCCTCCGGGAACCTCGGCGCGCTTGCGATTCCCTCGTCGCCGCCGCAATCAAATCACGGTCTATTCTGCATGATGACAGGCGTGTCAGTTGGCCGCTCATTATCATCATTGCATTATCAATGACGGCGATTTCCGACCGCCACACCCACCCAGCTTCACCACGCCCATCCACGCGTGCGCTGACCATAACATGACACATATAAATACACACACACAACACACGCGCACACGCCACTACGCACTGCGCACACGCACACGCACACGCACACACACACACACACACACGTGTACACAAACGTGTAAAAAAGGGAAAAAAAAGATTTCCGCCTAAATGTAATTTTTATGTTAATGTGACAAAATATAACTAATTATCGACCAACCTCCAGTTAACATAAAAATGAACTCTTTTTATACAGTACAGTCTCTCTCTCTCTCTCTCTCTCTCTCGTTGGTGGTTGGTGGTGGTGGTGGTGGTGGTGGTGTGGCGTGGTGTCGTGTGCAAGTGTGTGTGTGGTGGTGTGTGGTGGTGTGTGGTGGTGGTGTTGTGTGTGTGCGTTGTGTTGTGCGGTGGGCCGTGGTGTGTGTGTTGTGTGTGTTGTCACATCTGTGATGCGCGCGCGCAGCGCCATGGGGTCTGAATCCCCATAAGTCTACGGGTGAAAATCAATCCGATTTCATTAACAAACTAGCATCATCCCAGATTTAATGAGCGCATACCCTCCGCCAAGGCAATAGCTGCGTCACTGATGTAATTAAAAATATTCACACTTGGAAGATTTGCATTAAAATCGCCTCTCTCAAGTACAGATGGTGATGATCCGCTTCGAAAGGCTAATGAAAATAACTTTTCAAAAAATTAACTTGGACCCGGATCAATGACTCGGATCACCACCAAAATTTAATGACACCTAAGTTGGGCTAAGACACACACCTGATAAAAAAAAACAAAAAAAAAATCATAACAATCTGTTTCATAATTTTTTGAATCATCCAGCTAACCAACCAACCAACAAACCAACAAACTAACCAAAGACACAACATCCGTGGCGGAGGCTAATAAGTACTTTTTTCTCAACCGATATAACGCCGATTCATAATAAAGTCAACAGCCCAAATTCAAGGCAATGCGATTCCAACAGTGCCCATGGCCACGCGTCAAAAACATCACGTATCAAAACAGCCACGCCAGGGTAGACTAAACTAAACGGGAGGATAGGAAGGACACTCAATAGGAACGGGGGAGGAGTCGCAGCCACGCCATTCAGGATGAACTGTTAGCAAGAGGAACAAGCAAGAGAGAGCAGAGAGAGAAGCAGTGGGAAAACAAATTGAAGAAGAAGCCGAATAGGGGGAAAACAAATTGAAGAAGACAGCAGGTGAAAACAAATTTGAAGAAGAAGCAGGTGGGAAAACAAATTGAAGAAGGAAAAAAAACGGAAGAGAACGGCGAAGGGAAGGGATAGGAGGAAGTCATTTCCAAGAGAAAGGACGGCCACGAATTAATGCGACGCGAGTAGACTAATGGATAGCCAGATGGACGCAGAGGAACCGCAAGTGAGTATGAAAAGTAAACTTGGGGAACAGAATAAAAGAGGCTAAAGCGAGAGCCAAGAAAAGCAAAAGTGTTAGAGGTAAGGGGGAGTGCGCACGCCAGGCGCCTCGCAGTCAGAGGCAATGATGGGGTGGGGAGAGAGTAGGTGAGAGGGAGTAGGGGGTGGAGAAGTAGTGTGGGGGTGGGGAGAGAGTAGGGGTGGAGAGAGGGAGTGGGGGTGGAGCGGAGGGGGTGGAGTGGGGACGGGAGTGGGTGCGGAGAAAGCGGGCCCACTCCGCCCTTGTCCGTCTCCTCCGCGTTTAATCACAACTTGGTCCTTGCTAATGGTATTGCCGGCCGCCACAAAAACTGCAAGTGATGGATGAAGTTCGGCGCTCGACCGAGTGAAAGCGCAGCAGGTGGATGCGGAATGTGTGGAATGGGAATGGGAACGGGAGGTGAGGCGTCATGCAACAGAGTGGTGGGAGGACGGGGGGGGGGGGGGGGTGAATGCGCATGACCGAAAAATATGACTCAGGCAAGTGTGAAGGCGTTGCATGCGGCGCGATGACTAATGCCTGACAGGTGAAAGTGGGAACTGTAGATGTCATACGAATGTACCAAATGGATCGAATCGCTGATGATGATGAAGAAAAAAAAGGGAGACGGAGAGGAGAAGAGCAATATATATAATATATATATATATATATATATATATATATATATATATATTATATATATAATATATATATATATATATATATATATATATATATGTATAATATATAATATATATATATATATATAATATATATATATATATATATATATATATATATATATAATATATATATATATTATATATATATATATATATATATATATATATATATATATATATATATATAAATAATATATATATATATATTATATAGTATATATATGTATTATATATATATATATATAATTATATATATATATATATATATATATAATATCGTGTTGTGTGTGTGTAACTGCTAACATGAGCGCGTTAATTTATCTAATGTATATAAAGGAAGGACAGAGGAGGAGAGGGAAGGAGGAAGAGGAAGAGGAAGAGGAGGAAGGAGGAGGAGGAGGAGAGGAGGAGGAGAGAGAGGAGGAGGAAGAGGAGAGGAGGAGGAGGACAGGAGGAGGAAGAGAGAGTGAGTAGGAGGAGGAAGAGGAGAGGCGGGCGGCGGGTGGTTGACGGGTTTAATGGGAATAATCGTATCAAGTCTTCGACCATCTATGAGCTTGATCACGCCCCCTCCCTTGTAAGCCTCTCGGGGAGAAGGTTACTTTGTCGCACCCGATGGGGCGCTCTCTCTCTCCCTCTCTCCCTCCCTCCCCTCTCCCTCTCCCTCTCTCTCTCTCTCCCTCCTCTCCCCTCCCCCCTCTCTCCCTCTCCTCTCTCTCCTTCCCCCCCTCCCCTCTCCCTCCTCTCCTCCCTCCTCCTCTCTTTCTCTTTCTCTTTCTCGTCTCTCTCGGTCCTCGGTCTCGCTCTTCTCCCCACTCGCCTCTCCACCTTTACCCCCTCACCCTCCCTCTCCACTCCTCTCTCTCTCCCTCTTCTCTCTCCCCTCCTTTATCCTCCTTCCTTACCTCCCCCCTCTCCCTCTTCTTACTCCCCCTCTCCTCCTGTCCTCATCTCCCCTCTGCCCATCCTTCCTTATCCCCTTCTCCTTCCTCCTTACCTCCCCTCTCTCTCCCCTCTCTCTTCTCTTCACCTCTCCTCTTTCCATAATCCCCAAAAGTAAGGAAAAAATTAAAATAAATACTGTTTTACCAAAGAAAAATAAATGAAATGGCAAAACAAACAAGCAGTATGGGGTAAAAGAATAAATCCTATAAAGACAAAACAAGGCATTCGTGGGGAGTCCTACATAAAACTAAGTGAGACAGAAGGAGAACCAAGAGAGACAAAGAAAAGAAGGAGAAGGGGGGGGGGGAGTGAGTGAGAAACTAACCGACAAACCAGGATAAAAAGAGAGAAAAAGGAGAGAGAGAGAGAGCTAGGAACCACGGCGCGCCTCCCCATGTAATTTCGCTCCGCCGAAAATCGATTGGAAATTTAACTAAGCGGCCACTCATCACGCCGCGCGTCGCCACTTCTTGATCCATCTTGAGAGAACATGAACCTTATCGCCAAGGATAGGAGGAGAACACGCTGGAGGGAGGGGGAGGGAGAAGGGGAGGGAGGGAGGGAGAGAAAGGGAGGGAGAAAGGGAGAGAGAGGAGAGGAGAAAGAGGGGAAGGAGGGACGTGAGGGGAGAGGGAGGGAGATGGGGAAGGGAAGTGGCTAGGGAAAAAGGTGGGGTGAGGGAGGGGTGAAAAATAGGGAGATGGAGGGGAGGGGGGTAAGTGGCAAGGACAAGGAAGATACGATGAGGGAAGGAGCAATGGAAGGAGATGGGAGGGAGAGAGGAGAGAGAGAGGGAGAGAGAGAGAGAGAAGAGGGAGAGAGAGAGAGAGAGAGAGAGAGAGAGAGAGAGAGAGAGAGAAAAGAAGAAGAAGAGAGAGAGGAGAGGGATGGGGGAAGGGTGAGGGAAGGAGGGAGCCCATGCAAAATGAGATATCTCTCTAAAATTGATTTACGATTACACGAGAGACCCCCGAATAATGGCTACGCTGTCGAGCTGAAATTCCGAATAAAAATTTCGAGGCTTTCCTTGATACCATAAGTAAAATGTAATCGCATTACACACACATTTCCAGCTGCCTTGGTCGTGACTGAATGTTTCTTATCATCCGCAGTTGNATGAACGAAAAAAAAATTATTTGAAAAAATGAACAATGAATGCTGAGAAGAAAATATTGGGAAAGAGAGAATGCGAATTTGGATTGAACTTATGGAGCAAGAGAAAAATTAATAAAATTGAAAACGCTGCGGCAAAACATGCAAAAAAGCGAAAATTACGTCTATGATCATGAAGAGAGAGAAGGAAATGGCAGAGAAAGTGCCTATAAGAAATTATTGGAAAAACATCAACAATAGAATCCAAAATCACTAAATAAGATAACGGCAAAAGAAGAACGAGCCCCCACAACATAATGAATAGATATATACCACAATTACATTATTATTATCTTTCTGTCCTATCTTCTTCTTCTCTTCTTTCTGCCTCTCCTACCCCACGCTTTTTTCATTTAATTCTTCCGTTCTTCTGTTTCCTTTTCTTTCCTTTTGCCTTTACATCATCTTCGTCTGCGGTGTCTTTTTTTTCATTTCGTCATTTCTTACTCTTCTTTCTCACCATCATCCTTCTTTCTATTCTTCTTTGTCTTTTTCCTCCTCTTTGGCCGGAAATGGTTTGCGGTAATATTGCGGGAGTTCTGTGGTAGTTTTGCGGGAGTTCTGTGGTAGTTTTCGGGTAGTTCGTTAATAGATTTGCTGTAGTTCTGTGGTAGTTTTAGTAGTTTTTTGCGGTTGTTCTGTGGTAGTTTTGCGGTAGTTCTGTGGTAGTTTGCGGTAGTTTTCCAGTAGTTTTGCGGTAGTTCTGTTGGTAGTTTAGGGTAGTTCTGTGGTAGTTTTAGTAGTTCTGTGGTAGTTTTCAGTAGTATGTGGTAGTTTTCCAGTAGTTCATTAATAGATTTGCGATAGTTTTCGGGTAGTTCATGAATAGCTTTGCCGGCGTTTTTGGGTAGTTTTCCGGTAGTTGTGCGGTAGTTCTGTGGTAGTTTTCCTGTAGTTTATTAATAGCTTTGAGGTAGTTTTCGATAGTCTTGCGCTAGTTTGTATAGTCTGAGGCGGTAGTTTTGAGGGGTAGTTCATGGGTAGCTCAGCAGTAGTTTTGCGGTAGTTCATTCGTAGTTTTTGCGGTAGTTTAGCGGTAATTTTCGATAGGGAGGGAGGGAGATAAGGGGGAGAGAGGGAGATAGGGTGAGAGAGGAAGAGAGGGAGGGAGATTGGGTGAGAGAGGAAGAGAGGGAAGGAGATAGGGTGAGAGAGGAAGAGAGGGAGGGAGAGAGAGAGACGATAAAAATAGAGGAGAGGGAGTGTTAGTGAAGTGGTCATTTTCGATAGTTATGTGGCAGTTAAGTCGTAATTTAACGACGGTTGTGTGGTATTTTTCCCCACGTAATTCCTCGCGGTACAGGATAAATTAAGGCAACTGTAACAGGCGGTTGCGATAGACTAGTTAATTCATAGTTACTTCCGGTGGCAGTATGTATAGTTATAATTTTTTTTTACAAAGCTTTTATTAAAATGTCCTTATGTGGTGAATGGACCTCGTTAAGCAACCTCTGCAATCAGTTATTCCGGGAAAAGTTCCATGTACGTGCGTGTGTGCGTGTATGTGCGTGTGTGCGTTAAGGAGGAGGGGGTTGTGTGGGTGGGGGAGGTATGTGTGTAGGTGTGTGTGTGTGTGTGCGTGGTGTGTGTGTGTGTGTGTGTGTGTGTGTGTGTGTGTGTGTGTGTGTGTGTGTGTGTGTGTGTGTGTGTGTGTGTGTGTGTGTGGTGTGTGTAATGAAAGCAGAGAGATAGAAACAGAATGATTATAACAAAGACAGAGAAAGAGACCGAGGCAAAGAAAGCAAAAACAGTGACAAAGACAGATATAATACAAAAAAAAGAAAGTTATAAAAAAAAGATAACTAAATAAACAGAAAAAAGTAGAACATTCGTCACTGTTTAGCTTAGTGGCGTTGCAACACCTCTCTTCCTCTTCTGTGATATACAGTTTATTCTCTCGTGTAAACCGCAAATGATGCTTTTGCAATATGTTGTGAGTAGTGAATTGCGTCATAGCGTGTCATCCTTCGGGCTCAATTATTTAAGGTGTGTGCGATTTTTCATTCTGATTTCGTAGTAAAATTGATGTGTTTATGGATCCATTATGAGTGATTCAATTTAGAGACTAATTATTTCGTATTCGTGTATGTTTACCAACACGTACCGAGAAAAAAAAATCGAATAAGCATACCTGGTAACCTCGCTCATTTCAGCCAATCAGCATTCGCGATGCTCCATCACGAACCAATCATGACTCGGGACGTGTGTCGTCTGTGTTGCCATGGCTTGGGAAATTTAGTGAGCGATAAGCCTCTTAAGGTGAAAGTTATACGTGATAGGCCGAGAGCCGGTGAAATCGGACTATATTTAGATTCGAAAAGTCCGTTGCATTATGAAGCGGTGCGATGAGCAGTGAAAAAAAAATCATTTAAAAAGAATGGAAAATAACGAGAAGAGAAAAAGAATAGGAAAGTGATTAGTTAAAAATGTGTGATTTTTTTAATGTGTTTACATATATATAAACAGGTAGTTATAATCACAAAGATAATAATGATAATGATAAAGGTGGAGATATCGATACTGATATTATTGATAAGGAAAAAATGAAAAAAAATATTCTAAAAGATCTAAGATTCAAAACTCTCAGATACTGATAATAATGAAATGACATTAAAGATAGAACAACAAAGAGAATTGACAAAGATAAGCTGTCGAACCTTCCTAAACGAAAAGAAATAAAGAAAATGCGAATAATAATGACAAAGCAACACGCATCACAAACTTTTGAAATACTTCTTTCCTATCTTTCCTACTCCTAATCATCATCTCTTTGTACTTTTCCTCTTCTTTCTCTTTTTTCTCTTCCTCTTCCCCAAATCATTTCCTTCCCTCCTCCTAACCTTCTTCCTTCCTTTTCGTTCGCTTTTTCTTTTGTCTTTTCCATTTTCTCTTCTTTCCTATCTTTTTTCTCTTCCTTTCTTCCATTCTTTCATCTTTACACCTTTTGATTTTCTTTATTTTAATCTTTTGTCTTTTTTTTCCCCCACCCCCCACCACTTCACACACACCTATCCTCACCCCATATCCACCCCTACTTCAAACCCCCACCCCCCTGTTGATTTTCCACCCACCCCCCATCTGCCCATTCTCCCACCCACCCTACACTCCGCCCATTCTCCCCCCACCCTCAAGCCTAAATCTCCCCTCAACCTACTCCCTGCCATTCTCCCCCACCCCCCCCCCCCACCCCCTATCTCCCCCCCCTCCCCCCCTCCCCACCCCACTCCAGCCATTCTCCCCACCCCACCCCTACATTCTCCACCCCACTCCCTGTACCCATTCTCCACACTCCCCTATCTCCCCACCCACATTTCCCCCACAACCCATCCTCAAGCCATCTCCCTTCCCTCCCATATCCACCCCCCCCCCCACCCCACCCCCCGCCACACCCCCACCGGTTCAAACTCATTACCGGTCATAATTGATCGAGCATTATTGGTTCCATGAAATTTCGTTATGATGTTACAGTGTCGGGGGAGGGTCTTTATCGGAGGAATCTGGGGGCTGGGGGGGGAGGTTATTGCGAAAGGGTGGAGAGAGAGAGAGAGAAGGAAAGGTTGAGGGAAGGGAATGAGGGAGGGAGGGAGAGAGAGTAGGGGGCGGGGCAAGGCGAGAGAGAGAGAGGGAGAAAGGGAAGGGGAAGGGAAGGGGAAGGGGGAGGAAGAGAGGGAGAAGGAGAGGGTGGGGAAGGGAAGGGAGAGAGGGAAGAAGGAGAGAGAGAGAGAGAAGGGGAAGTGGAAGGAGAGAGAGAGAGAGAGAGAGAGGAGAAGAGGAAGGGGGGAAGAGGAAGAGAGGGAGGGAAGGGGAAGGAGAGAGGGAAGAGGCAGAGGGAGGGAAGGGGAAGGGGAGAGGAAAGGGGAAGGAGGAGAGAAGAGATAGGGGGTGAGAGGGAATGGAGAGGAAGGAGAGGTGAGGTAAGGTAATGGGGAGCAGAGAAGGAGGCAGAGAGAAGGGGAAGATGCGCAGAAGGGAAGGGAAGAGGAAGGAAATGAAGAGAGAAGTGGTGGAGAGAATAAAAGGAGGAGGGAGAGGGGAAAGAAGAGAAGGAGGAGAAGAGAAAGTAGTAAAAAAAGGAGAGGTGGAAAGAAGGGAAGGAGACGGGGAATGAGAGAGAGCACGAAGAATAAGAGAGTGGAGAGAGTGATAGACAGGAAGAGAGAATGGTGAAGTTGACGAAGGAAGGGAAAGAGAGAAGGGAAAGGGAAGAGGAAGAGAATGTGCTAAAGTAAAAGCAGAATAAAGAATATAAAGAATCGGGAATAAAAAAAAAATGAAAGCAACAGAGACAGAAGCCAAGACAAAAAAAAAAAAAAAAAAAAAAAAAAAAAAAAAAAAATCTGGAAAAATGATAAAAGTTTATTGTAAATATGGAAAGAGGAATAAGCAAATTGGTGGTAAAGATGATAGCAATTAAGACCAATTATATTGATGGTGAAGATGATTCTATGAATGCTATTATTTTTTATTCAAAACCGTATTCCAGATTCTAAATAAATTGCCTCATGTTTTCTAATTCAGTAAATAAATAACTGAGAAAAATAGATAGATGAAGATAAGCATATAAACATGATAGATGAATGAATAAATACATATATAAATAAGTAAAGAAATAAAAGACGGCTCACAGATCGATAAAAAAAATAAACAACAAGTAAAAGGATTCGAAACTCTATAACTCGTCCAAAAAAAAACAAAAGCCGATCGCCCGGCCCACATTTTGGCGGGTTCATAAGTTCGCCGCCAATAACACTCGTGTCAAGAACGCGAACAATAACGACGTCACAATTTGGCAAACTGGCCGACGGGAGAGGGAGAATTTCCGAGAGCAAATGGGAGGAGCTAACTTGGTTTCCCTTGATGGGCGGCGTGGGCTGTGGGGGGTGGGGGGGTGGGGGGGAGGGCTGCTTCGTGCTCTCTCGCTTGTTTTCTCTCTCTCTCTCTCTTTCTCGTTTTCGTTTTCGTTTTGTTTTTTGTTTTGTTTTTCTCTTGTTCTTTTTTCTCTCCTTTCTTCCTTTTCATCTTTCTCCTTTTCCTTCTCCTCCTCCTGCCCCTCGTCCTCTTCTTCTTCTTCTTCTCCTCTATTCTTCTCCTCCTTCTTCTTCTTCTTCATCCTCTATCCTCCTCCTCTATCCACATCCCTCATCATCCTCATCATCCTCCATCCTCCTTCCTCCTCCTCCCTCCTCCTCCCTCCTCCCTCCTCCTCCTCCTCCTCCTCCTCCTCCTCCTCCACTCCCCCTCCTCCATCCTCCCCCTTCCCCCCTCTCTCCTCCATTCCTCCTCTCTTCCTCCATCCTCCTCCACCTCCTCTTCCTCCATTCCTCCACTCCTCCTCCTCCTCCTCCTCCTCCTCCTCCTTCCTCCTCCTCTCCTCCCTCTTCCTTCCACCTCCTCCTCCTCCTCCACTCCTTCCATCCTCCTCCTCCTCCAACCTCCTGTCCTCTTCCCATTTTCCTCTTCCCCCTCCTCCTCCTCCTCCTGAATGTCAGGGAAATACCATACACACTCGACTTGGAGAGTGTTTGCGGCGAGTGTAAACAGTCTCTCGCCAAAGATTGCTGGCGAAAAAAAGAAACGTGTTAAAAATAGGTTTTTGATTTCTTTATTTTCGTATTATCTATATATTTTATTATTTATTTATTTTTTTTTTAATCTGTTTTATTTTCATATTTATTTTTATTTTTATTTACGTTTTTTTTGGGGGGGTGGGAGGTTAAGGGATTTTGTTGATGTTGATGTTGCTTTGTTGTTGTTTATCGCCATGATTGATGTATATTTTCTTAAAGATATGTTGGATATTAGATGCATCATTAGTTTCTGAAATTATGATAATTAGTTTTTATTATTGCAATTGTCCCATCTCCGTCTATCTGTCTGTCTGATTTATTC